TTACGGCGTTCGAAGTCGACTGTTAGATATGCTTCTTGGAGAAAAACTCTACCGATTGTAAGTTTCTTTGGGTCGGCCGTCCGCCTAAGTGGAAAGTAACGGAGGCCCTCGCTGCTTTGATTCTGATCAAGGCCAGGATAAGGGTATGTAAGTTTGTGATCAAAGGCAGCGAAAGGTAGCGTTATATTCACGGACTTTGGCGAATCTGGGAGATCGGATAAAGTAAAGGTAAAAGAGATGTTTGATCCAGCGATAGCATCGTAGGTAGAGATATTGGGCCCGTATGTATAGAGGTTCAGGGTATTGTTATAAATCAAGCCGAGCTTCCCGGCAAGTGAATCACAAATCTGCTCAGGAAACCACAGAAAAGGTGTAGATGAGTCTATTATAAAAGTCCCGCTAGAGGATAGATCGATGGCCAAATCACCAGCCAACGAGTTTGAGTTAGACATCGTGCCAGTCTTAACCTTGAGGGACTTTATGGTAACGGCAGGCAGATTGTCCGGAGACAAAAAGAAGGAAACCTCGTTAGGAATAAATCGGCTCCTGTCAAACCCTCCAAAAGTAAGAGATGTTGGTACACCTTTCATCTCTATTTCCCGGAAAATGTCAGCTCGGAAGTTCCGACCAGGTAACATAGTTTAATGACGTACGATAAAAGGCACCGGCAGTATAGCCATAGCTATGACTAGGCACTATGCTCATGTTCTGTACCAGGCTGCTCAAGAGAGACAGTTTATTCTCGTCTGTGAAATTGGTGTCTGTGACGCCGAGTCCTAGCGAGCCGATCCACCATTTGACTGTGGTGACCATGCTAATAACTTGATCCGAGACAGAAACATCGTTGTTGAGACCGATAAGATCGTAGCCGTAGTCGCCGTAGCCCGCATCACCAAGCTGGAGATTACTCCCGAGCTCATACAGCCCAACATGCGACCAGGTCGAGGAAGCATTTGCGAAGAACAGACCACCGCGTTCTTTACGGCATCTCATGGCTACATGACCATGTTAAAAGTCCACATCTCATCGGCGCAACCACTCTCGTACGGATACAATCGATAGGATAACATACTGGCATCACATCCACCACGTCCGATAACCCAAGTCTCTGATGAGACTGTGTTCGGTATCACCTGTAACCATTGTGACGGTGTTCCAACCCGGATAGATAACCTAGAAATAATAGAACTCGGTTAGCCGATAGCCTTCATTTGGTCCTAGGATCAGGTTCACAGCAACGTACGAGCTCCATGAGCCATCATAGCCGATCCTAGATCAATAGAAAAAAAACTGTTAGAACTAAGCAGCTTGTACTACACAACGGCGAGACAGAGCTGAAGTATACCAGTTTGAGCTAGGAGTAACGCTCAACGGGGTCGGAGAAGAGGCAGCAGCAGCAAATTTGAGGCTGGATAATATGAAGACAACCACAGCCAGCCCAAAATTCCGCCCAGGAACACTCCGTAGGGGATCGTGGCGGCCGACAGAGACAAGAGGACTCATGCGCATGGTCGGCGCACCTGGTCGAGCCTAGGCATTACCAGGAGAGGTCGACGTTGCGCCGTAGCTGGAGGGAAGACATGTTTGAGAAAATAACGAGAAGACGGCAGCCCTGGTCCACGACTCCATCATGGTCCTACTAAAAGGAAAAGAAAGAGGTTCCCCAAAGAAAAAAGAATGGCATTTTTGAGGAAGAAGGCCAGAAAAAGCAATGAATGGTTTCTGTCATCCATTATTTTTCGAAGCTGGGCGTTTCTCTTCCTCTGCTCTGTACTTCGTATCTTCGTCCTCTTCAAGGGGCAGAGGGTCCTCCGTATGTACCAGGACATGGGTTCGGCGTACAAGCCATTTCGACTAGTGAGAAACCACCAACAAGGGCTCGACAAACCTTGAACCCCGAGGTTACCGAGACAGTCAAATGTGTATAAAACTACGCATGGGAGATCGTCTCTTTGGCCTCTGGCGATGGGCCAGATGGCATCTTTGCACTCATACGGAGTCCACACTCAGACTTGCTCTTGCAGAACGTACCAAAGCGTTAAGGCTCTGGACACTTCGTGACACTCATTGTCAATTGGCCTGGTAAGCCTCCACAATAGTGCGATTTAGTGGTGGCGCCGCCAGCATTGTTTCAAGCTTAAAGATTCCTTCGCCTTGACTCACAACTAGTGCACGAATACGTGTATCGGCGGTCTCGCCAGGATTGCTTATCAAGATGTAGATGAAAGTGTGGGCACAGTTGTTCCACATCAGCAGCATCAGCATCAGCCTCTCTCCTGCTTCATTTCTTCTCTCACATTTTAATAGCGGGTGGCAAGGAAGCCTGTCCAGGGACCTGTATTGCAGATGATTTCCCGTATAAAAAAAAAAAAACATGACATCGGGCCGACCCAGTGTCGATGCCGATGATCACTTCATCCCATCATTCAGTTTAAAAAAGACAAGCGATATTCTCCCCAGTATAAGAAAAAAAGTCCTCCATACTCCGTTCAAGGATATTTAAACATAAGTTTCATGGAAAGCTGACCCTGGGCTCAAAACAAAATGGGCATAATGTTGGCCATCCTTCCGTGCTGTGCATGTACCCGCCATTCGCTTAGAGATGATCAGGGGAGAACCATGCCCTGCACTGCAGTGCCAAAGTCCCGCCCAATTGGAGGTAGCAAGCCATAAGCTGGAAATGCCTCTTTTTCCCATAAGGGCCGAAGAAGCAATCCATATGGGTGCTCTGCCTCCTTGAAAGAAGAGAGAGAACACAAGCTCTTCTCTCTTTTTAGACCTCAGCCTCAGCAAGGTCTCTCCTCTTTTAGCTGGTCCCGTATTCACTAGTCAGTTGGGGCCGATATCATCGCGGAATTTCATCTTTTCATCTGCTGAACAGCATAGTCAACGACGGTCTTTATCCGCGCTGGCCAAAGCCATAACTCGTTCGTCTTTCAGCTCTCGGCCGTCATCGCCGATACCCTTCCTCTCTCTTTATTTTTCCCTCGCTGTCTCTCTCTGTCATCCCCCCTTTGCTGGCTCTGCTTGTCGTTGCTTTTTCTCTTCACAGCCTTCCTCAACTAGTTCCTGTTGATAGTGGTCCGGTATTTTCTTTTTAGGTGCCAATCAACTGTGGCGTAGTCCTTATTTTCCGTTCCAGACATGATGCTCAAGAACGTTTGATTCCTTCAGCTTTCAAGAGCGCAAGCATTTATTTCTCCTCTTGTTGGCGCTGTGCTGGATGTTGACAGTTAGCGATGCTCTCATCTTCGACCGCACCTAGGAAACTGGCACAAGAACAATGAAGAAAATACCATTCCTCCTGGCCTTGATGGCCTCCTCCACGGTCGTTGGATACCCCTGGCACTACCACGACGGTATTTTCTTCTGATTGAGTGTATCAAGAACTGATGGGTCGGTTAACTGACGTTGGCGGTTTGTTGTTGCAGGCAGGATTGTAGTCCGCGAGATCGTCTCAGAGATATTCGGATCTTCCGCGCCGGCACCTCCACCTCCATACAACAACATCAACACCTCACTGACGCCAGCAGAGGCTCCTCCGAGCCCGTCGTTATGGCCGCCAAACATCGAGTCATGCCATTGTCCCGTAACCTACGTACCAATGTTGCCTGTGGAGTGCACAGGGGAGCTGTTCTATGCCACGAAGCCTCCGCAGACTGTGTACACTACAATCACCGAAGTGCACACGTTGAAGCCTATAGATACAGCGCCCATGGGTCCTCCTACGCTTGTCACCCCTCCTCCGCCATGCTCCACTTACAGTTGCCCTCCCACGCGCTGTAAAATGGGCCTTTTCCCTTCTCTCGCACCTCTAATATCGACTGTCAGCGTCACCAAGAAGACCACTATCATGGGCGTCCCGTCCGCCGAACCACCGCCATCATTCCAAGATACCAGCTCAGGAAGCGCAGCAGGCCAGAATATACCCCCTACAGCCTCGCCAACTGACGACTCGAGTGCTTCTCGGCCGTCCGGTAAATCAAAGTCTGATTCTGGCTCCCCAGACGAACCTCACAGTGGTTCTCAGGGAACTACTTCTTCAGCCAGCCAGGGTAACAGCCCGGAAGGCCGTCCAGAAAACAGCCAAGGAAGACCTCAGAGCGGTACTCCGAATGGTCAGCAAGGAGGTAGCCAAGGGAGCGCTCAAGCCTCTCGACAAAAAACGCTTTCTCAGCCTCCCGGGAGCTCCATGCCAGTTGATCCGGGGCCTATCACCTCAGAAGGTGCAGGCCACTCCCATTCAGTCCCTACCAGAACCATGTTCAACCTGGGTGGGATCCCTATCACTATTCAAGAGACTGACTCCATCACCCTTGGGAACGGGCCGTCACGCACTACTATTACTAGTAATACTACCCCAACCACATTTGCGGTTGATGGCCATACTTTTACCGTAAACCCTTCAGAGGTAATCTACCTCGACACTACTTTCCACCTCGGTGCAGATCCTATGAAGTCACCACCACTCGTATCGGGTACGGCTAATCCTACGGGCAGAGGAGACAGCGAGGGTCCGCGAACCGACAGTGAGGGCCATACCATATCTCCTAGGCCAACAGGCACCAGGGACGGCTCTCCTTCCAGTCAGAGCCTTGCAGTACGGATATCCACTGGTATCAACACCACATTTGTTCTAGGGATAAGTACTGCACTTATTTTTGGTGGCTTCGTTGGAGTTTTATAACGAGATTTTGTCTCTTTCTATATACCCATTTTCCTTCACCTTGTATAATAGTAATGACATACCTAAATGGCCAGCAGTCGCCCGCTTGTCTCATTATTTACTTCGTCCTATTTAGCATATATGGTAATGCCACAGTTGCATAGCTCTTCGATGTAAATGATACACGTTATATTTTTTTGCCCTGCGATATTTATTAAAAACCCTCAATTTCTTTATGTTTTCAGAACTAGAAAAAAAAAAAAATCCTTATTCTACCAGAAATGAAGCTGCCCGTCATGTGTATCATCTTAATGCAACTGCTCCCCTACATACCTCATAATCTAAACATCTCACCCCGGGACCTTACCCCATCTAGGATAAAGGTATTGTCAAGGGGCACATACTGTCTTGTGAGCACTTTGAGGGCCTCCTGAGCTATACACCCACCTGCCATAGCTGAGATATTATGCAGTTCTCCAATCCCCGCTCGCCGCACTTCCGATATGGCCGACTCGACCCGGGACCTAATCTCGCTTTCACTTTCATCCATACCATTTCCCTCCTGGCCTAGACCAGCTAGGACTTTCGAGAGCATTGCCGTCCAGTTGTCGGATTTATCAATGTGTGATGGTTCCTCCGTCATCCCTGCACAGCCTATCTCTTTGAATTCACTCACTAGGCCGTCAAGAGTACTCAGCGCAATGAAAATTGGAATGAGAGAATCAGGGTTTTGCAGGCTGCTCTTAATAGCCTTCACTGTTCGCTGTGAAATTCCTCCTGATGGCACAGGCGATAATATTGGAATCTCGTTGCCCCTAATCACTTTGATATGAGCTGCGTTCTTGCAGAAAGTGTCAATCTCCTTTTCTGATATCGGCATCCTCTCCGGGCCGGCACGTAGCTTGCATTCAAGATTCCGAACAGTGGCAAGTACTTCAGCCGCATCCCTTCGTGCTTTTGACTTATATATGTTTTGTAACCAGATATAATCTGACGACTGCGCCTTCATGTCCGGTAGTGACCCGGACAAAGGCAGAACTGAATGTGTTTCATAAAAGTCTTTGACTGCGGCCGCTATTACCCAGAAATTGGATGATCTAGTTGTTAATTGAGAGCACTCGTCCATATCAAAGGCATTGCGCAAGTCACTACTTAAGGAGTAGGGACCAACGCTCTTTAGGACAGCCGCCACAGCTTCGTCGAAGTTTTCTTCGCCTCCTTCAGGATTATTAGTTCTAGCATGAGATCTAACCATGTCCCTAAACTCGGACTTTTCCCGGTAGTTCTGAGGGTACAGGCCGTTATGGTTGACCTTCCACTTCTCAAGGAAGTGTAGCAAAAGTATCAAATACGGAACATGTCCATGCTGGTGGTCGTCCATACTATCCAGGTTCTCCGCCTTGCTTGCTGCAGCCACAAGTTCCGGCCAGGGAATTGTTAAACGAAGATCTTCAGTGGAGCTGGCATCAGGGTGTGTCTCGACTATGGGGAAAGCGGATGGTAGCTGCAGCGAAAAGGACGCATAAAACCCTACCGAATGTGTGTAGATTAGGGGTATATCCAGCCGCCTTGTAGTTTGTGATATGGTTCGAAGGATAGACTGCCTTATTGGCCCGGAAACAATGACAAGCTGGTGCTGGGGAATAAAGTCTTCATCTTCGAGAATATCTAAAATGGTCTATATCGTGCTTAGCGTTAGGATGTCTGGCAGAGAGAGGAGGTAAAACAGTAGACAATACCGTTGTATACGCTTGCCCATCAACATCTTCATTAAGCTCCCGAAGATATTTACATGTCTCCTCAGCCCTAGATTTACCAAGGCTGTCCTCAGAGAGAAAGAAGTTCACGCCTAGATCAACCTCAGAGACGGTTGCAGGATCAACAATCGTGAAGCCACCAATCCCAGGAAGCACGAGATTCTTCAGAGTCTCAACACCCAAGACACCAGTCAATTCCGAGCCATCACTATCCACCGGCCCATCGGAGTTTATGAGAAGCACTCGAGAAGACTCTAGGGCTTGCTGGCCGCTAGCTGCCCAGAGTCGCAGCTGGCGGTCGTATTTCCTCTCCTTAGCGGTTGGGGCGGCATGCGAGGCCATGGTTCAATTTATTTCGAGCGTTTCGGCGGGCCGAGGTGGGCGGGGGCGGCGTGAAGCTCCGAGATACCGTCTCGCCGTCCCTGGGACAGTTAAGCAGACATATAAGAGCGCTCCGTCTCTTCTTCCCTTCTTCCTCGACGTCGTCGTCGTCGTCGTCGTCCTGCTTCTTCTTCTTTTTGCCCCGCGTAAACAGCTTACTTGCTTATATAATCTCAAATTGATCACGTGACAACATAGAAAAGCTTGTTTGTCAGCTAATTGCTTATCGATAAAGAATTAAAGTTTGTCATTGTTAACGGCAAAATCAACCTCCTGGCCAGAAGAAAGCGCAGCCTCGGTGGCTTCGTCGGATTGAAAAGGTGGGTTGATGCATTACGATTTGTCTTGCTTGTTGCGATACATGAGAGGACATCATTAGAAACTAGGCTCTACCCGGTCAATCCTTGATCTGATGCACTGCCAGAAGCTGAAGGCAGAAGCTAACAGAATACGAGAGCCCAAAAGACCCCTCATCTAGAAGAGGTGAATATTACAGACCCTCCGGATACATCTAGATCTATGACATCTATTTCAGCATCGAGGAGCTTTCTGTAAGTGGCTACGTGCGCTAACTTGTTAACCTTCCCCCCTTGTGACTAACTGAGCCCCTTGCTCTAAGATACAAAAGACTACAGTGAGATCCCATATTAGTTCCTGGCCTTGTCAGTTCAAATTTGATACTCCTAGTTTATAATCTTTGGGCTCTACTCTAAAGTGAAATGTCAATAATACATCTGGAATCGTGCTTCATCCTCTTCCATACTGCATTCAGCCAGGTGGAGAACATTCCTTGACATCCCGAGAGCGCCCTTTTTTCTCCACAAAATTCTTGACGTTTAGTCAGATGAATTAACAGTTGGCTTCTAGGACAAAGATTTCCCGCACCTCTCCTTCTTTGTGCGTGAGTTCTTTATACGGTACGAAACCCTCTTTATTGAGAAACAAACCCTCGCTTCCCGACGCTGTGTATAGGAGGATTTACTCCCAATCACCCTACCTACAACTTCGCCGCTTATCCATAAAGAGACCGACACCAGCATATAAAATGGCAGACATAGAAGCCGCAAAAAGGGCCGCTGCTACAGAGGCAGTAAAAAACCACTATCCAAAAGATGCGAAGTTCATCGGTATTGGAAGTGGAACTACCATAGTCTATGTTGTGGAGGCTATAAAGGCACTTGGGATCGATACTTCAGCCACCAGCTTTGTGCCCACTGGATACCAGTCTAATCAACTGATCGTTAATGCTGGTCTTACGGCTATTGCATTTGACGCTCTGCCAGAAGGGACCGTACTGGATGCTGCGTTTGATGGGGCTGATGAGGTGGATGACGACTTGAACTGCATCAAGGGTGGTGGAGCATGCCTCTTCCAGGAGAAGCTGGTTGCTCTTCAGGCAAAAGAGTTTATCTGCGTTGCTGGTACTTGACCCTAAATGAGTAAGAGAGAGATCCTTCATACAGCTAACCCTATACCCGATAGATTGGCGCAAAAACCAAAGTCGTCTTCTCACGTCCTGGCCATCAATCCCAATTGAGGTCGCGCCTTTGGCTGCTCGCCGGGTGATGGATGAGTTGAAGGCTTTGGGTAGCCCCAACCCTATTCTAAGACAGGACCCGGTCGCAAAGGCTGGCCCATTAAAGACTGATCAGGGATTCCTTATCGTGGATGCGCCGTTCCCAGCTCTGCTTTTGCCTTCTGATATCGCTGCAGGCAAGAAGGCAGAGGGTGGTGTCTGGGAGGTAGAAGCCTTGGCCAATGCTATCAATGCCATAACTGGTGTGTTGGAAGTCGGTTTATTCTGCGGACCTAACGGCCCCCAAGCTCAGGCCAACGGAAGAGTAGGAGGACAGAAACCTGTTGCGGCCTACTTTGGAAATACCGATGGCACAGTTATTTCAAAGAGGAAGAAATAGATGTTTTCACCTCCCCGCAAAAGCCTAGTTACCAATTTTGGCTTTTCTTATTGCTATAGTTAGGTAGACAATGCCTCTGGCGAAGCAATGTGTTCATGCATGATACGACCGATAATCTCAAAATGATCACAGCCCAGAGGTAAAACAACACGAAATTAACTCAAGTTTTCTAGAAATCTGACTAGCCATTAGACCTAACTTTAAACTCCTATAACTAACTAGTTGCAACAATGATACACCCTCAAGAGTACATGCCAAACCCATTCACACCTCCCCGTGAAATGGACATTATTTCGGAAATCTAACAGTTGGGTTGAGGAAAGTCTCTTCTTCTTCCGATAGTGAGAATGGAGGTGCAGATTTAGCTCTGAATAATGTGTTAGAATTCATGCCTTGGTAGAAATAGGCATCAGCCTTTTTCTGTCGAGTCATCCGGCGGTCCATGTATTGTTCGTATGCTTCTTGTCTGATGGTAGCAAACAAATACTTAGGATGCACACAGATAGCCTGAGCTCCCTTTTGTCCAAATCCAAAGGAGGTTATTGATACAGCTTTTATCTCGTCCACTTGAAGGCCCTTCTGGAGATAGGCAATAAGATCAAACTCCTTTAAAGCACGATCGATGTTATCTGCATTTCGGTTTCCAGGAACCAGCCCTGTATCTAGCATCTGCAGCGCACCGTTCACCATCCACGCACCAGCTGCGCCTTTGGAATGGCCAGTTAGGTATTTTTGGAATACACTGAGAATGGGGTTTCCTTTCCGCCGACCTAGAGCCTCGAGTTGCTTTTGGATAACAGCGGACTCATTCTTGTCATTCAAAACAGTGGAAGTCCCGTGAAAGGAAGCAACACCAAGATCATCGATGGTCAATCCCCATACGGCCAGAGCACCTGCAAGCGGAGCAATATAGGGGTTGTTACGCCAGAAGTCATTGCCCAGAGCATATTGGGCTTCTCTAGTCTCCTTCTCATATTCTTCTAGGATAAGCTGTTTTCGTTCTTGATGGCTTGTCTTAATGTCAGAAGTAACCGCCGAGGCTATATCAGTTTGTAAATCTGCCAATAACGCATCACGGGATAGAGCAATCTGTTGTCGACGGGTATCTAGCTTCTTCTTTCGACCACTGATATTGGGAAGAGAAGGGTGTACAGTAGACATAATGTGCTTGGAGTTTGTCAATACCCCTTTCCCCGGTGCCGGGAGCGATCTCCCAGCTTTGTCACTAGATGTACCAGCAAAGGCAACAATGCCCCGAATTGGTAGGCCCATTTGTAGTGCCAACTCCGCAGTAGTAAGGACCTGAAGTCCACAACCTTGTGATTCTATAAAGCCGTTGCGGGTGCTTGTTGTAGGCCTTGACATCTCTCCTGGTTCCCTACCACGTATGAGCTCTTCCGTTGCGTTGCTCGTTGCCTTCATATTAGCAAACTCATATGACGTCTCACCACTGAAATCATCGCAGCCACCAACGAGACAGAATTTTGCTTTCCTGGCAATAATTGTATCGTACCCAAGCTCCAAGGACTCAACTGCCGTGGCACAAGCTCCTACCGGAGTGCGAATTGGACCACTAGAAGAGAGTAATAGCATATTTACCCAGGCGCCAATTGTATTAATAAAAGTCTCCTGTAGAATATCTTTCTGTATATCTTTATCCATAGAGCGGCCGCTAAACATCTTGCCTAGGGAAGAGACCCCTCCAATCCCTGATCCGATGCAGATAGCTACATCAGAGACATGGATATATTGGTATAACTCGTATGGATCTGTGATTCCTGCTGATATAAGAGCTTCTACAGTGCAGACCAATGTAAAGAGAGTAACACGGTCAGCCTGCGTGATTATTTCCTCTGGGATCCCATATGTTCTAGCATCCCAACCTGTGGGAATAAGCCCGGCCACAGTGTGGCTAAATTTCATAGCCCGCGGGATGAAGATTCTTGCGCCTTTAAGAATCCGAACACAGTAAATATCAGGCTTGGAAGATCTTCTGATTTCGGCATAGTCCCCATGCTCTAGCCGCATCTCTTCAGCAAGGGATTCGGGAACATAGAGAGGCTCTAGGTTCTCTTGAATAATCACCTCATGGAGGAACTGTTTCTTATTTGGATTGTAACCATCACATAACTCTGGTTCGATTAGCCGAATACCAGAATGATTAAGAATGTAGTCCTCATATATTTCCTTAATCTTTGACTCTACCACAGGCTGTTTGCTTTTCGAGTCCACCCAGCCTGAATAGGGGTTTCCATCGATACTTTCGGTGGTGTAGCGGATAAGCCCCATCAGCCAGGCCATTTCAACAACACCCTCAAGGGAAAATTCGCCATGTGCCTCCATTTCCCATCGAGTTCTAGAGTTTCCGTAAGGGCCTAGCTCTGAAAAGCCAGTGATGACAACCACACGTTGGAGATCAACCATATCCACCAGATCTTCACTAAGTGGATAAATATCTTTGTGGTATTGAAGCACCCTTGGAAAGTCTGGCCGTACATGTGCTCTTTGCTCTAGTGTATGTGTCTTCATTTCTGCTGGCGACACTAATTTCACTCCTTCGACACATTGTTCCTCGAACTTCAACTCCGTGAAAAGTGCGGATTGGATATCACTGCGTCCTTTGAGCTCCCCGCGAAGACTTCGAACTTGCTCAGCAAGACTTTGCACTTTAGTCATCCCCCCGGTCAGATCCACGTATATTGGTTGTTCTTGGCAGATCATATTTATAGAAGGTGTACAGAGACAAACAAGGGCGTGTGCCATTTCTTCCTGTGAGAAAGTTCGCAGCCCTAAGGACTCCATACCTTCAGCTACCAGATCATTTTTGTTCATTAAACCCGTGCCTCGAGTCCACCCGATGACAGCGCCACAAATAGATATATATTCCTGCCAGTCCTCTGAGTACCAGCGGTTGAATAGGGTTTCAAGTGCAATTTTTGATTCTCCGTACAAGCCATCACCACCAAAGGATCCATGGTTGGGGGATAAAGGCAGTAAGACCTGCGTTGGGTTGGATAGATACTTGTATTTCTCCTTAACGGTCTTTACGGATCCCAGTAGCCGAAGGGCGTTCGTCAACATTATACGATGAGCAAGTTCGGACTTCGAGTCAATTGAGTCAATTTCCTTATTGCTTTCGCTGATCGCCGCAAATGGAATCAGATAGTCTATATCCAACCCGAGTCCCTTAGTATCATAGACATACTCAACGAGGGATATCACATCCTGTTTGCTAGCCTGGTTGAACGGGATAACAATTAGTTGAGAACCACGAGCTCCATGTTCAGTATAGATAGCTCGATATTTCCTTGAGACTTCTGGAGAAAATGACGAAGTTGTCATCACCACTCTTGCACCTCCTTGAAGAAAACAGCAGATGATGGAAGCGCCAATAGAACCTATCCCAGCACCGGTCACCAGGACGGTTTGGCCGCTAAATGACTCCCCTCGACTTTCAACCAAATCTAGGGCTTTGTAAAGATGGCTAGTTAACTCCCGACTATAGGTCCATCCATGAGAAAGCATTTCTTTAATGTGGATATAGGGTTCACCAGCGGTATTAGGTTGAGTAGCCAGGTCAGCAAAACGAATTGACTCTTTCCGCTCCTTTTCAGCATATTGCAAGCTTCCATCGTGGGTAACTGTAGTGCAAGGACCGAGATTCTTTGGGGTATTCTGGTAAACAGGCCCCAGGCCTAGTCTGCTTCGGCATGTTCGTTCCAGCCTTTGCACAATATGTCCAAGTTGAGGATGGTCTGAGAAATCAGCTATCGCTCTTTGAAGAATAGGCAATATTTCTTCTTCAGCAGCATTGGCAATGAAATTGCACCTCTGTATAACTGGTTCTGGATCAAAAAATAGACGTCCCTGTTTAGCTGACTGTGCAAAGCTGATAAGCTCAAGCAGACTTTGCCGGGCCCACGCCCACGATGAATCGTAAACTCGGATTTTACGAGGGTCAAACTTTGGGCGAATACCAGCTGCATATTCTTGGCCGTGTTCCGCAACCCAAAGGTCTATTTCGGTCTGTAGTTTTCTCGCAGCCACTTCCTGAGCGTCATCAACGAGGCTTCGATCAAAATCACAATCTTGTTCAAGATGTGAAGCATAGACTTTCAGAAGCTTTTTAGACAATGACTGCTGCGACTTAGAGAATATTCGCAAAGTTTCGGCATCAACCATGACACTTGAGGTATTTTTATTTTCTGTTGAAGTGTCTCCCCCAAGGGTAATTCCTTCCCTTAGTGCGTATTCTTCAGCTACTAGGTCCATAAATCTAGTTGCTTCTTGCTCAGCTGAGATTCGCGTGGTTGGCTGCATTGTTGTGGCTAGTACCAAACAAGAATTCTGCCTGCCATTCTGCAGCTTCCATTGTACTAATAGTCTCTCCCTAGCCACAGCAGAAGTAAAAGCACCTGGCATTTTCGAAGTAAACATTAAATTGATCATGGCAGTGGATATTTTGCCGAGGGTTCCTTTGTGATTTAACTGCACCGTGTTCCACAATTCGGTCAAGGGAATATCCTCAACGCGATCAGGTAAGAGCCCAAATTCGGTACTGAGATCACCGACTATTTCATTCTCTAGTGTAGAGCGTCCTGAGTGGATGTTAGCAATGATTTACAGCCAAATGCCATTTTCTGCGGGTCTAAACGTACCTCCTGCTAATAATTTAAGCGATTTTGAAACATCTATATCTGGTACTGGCTTTTTCAGAGCTTTGGAAACAATAGCGATCAGAATCTCTCGTGCTTCAATAGGCCGGTCGTCTATATCGTTTGCGACATTTATGCAAGATGCAGGCGGTGCTGTAGCATTGACATCTCTTGCTTTCAATTCTGTACTTGCTACCTTATCTTTAGGCTCTTCCATTGGTGTAGAAGTATCAGGAATAGATTCGTAGTAGATTTTTTGTGTATCCCTTTCGGAATTAAGAAGCTGCCGTGTTGGGCAAAGGATGCAGTCCTGAGTCTCATATGAACCCTTTATGGTTCGTTGGAACATTCCTATAAGGGTGTTTGTAGGTCCAACTTCTATAATATTGTTGCACGCTCTGCCCGTAAGAATGACATCCTGTGTTTCAATCCACCGCACTGGAGATGCAAATTGGTATCTAATTTTAAATTAAAATACTTGGACCAGAACTAGGTGACCGTATGGGAGAGGAATTACTCACGCCATAAGCTCAACTAGCAGTGTATGAGCCAGCTTCCGCTGGTCGTTGGCATGGCCTGCCATGGTAATCACTCTCACGTTTTTTTCAATCGGTAGACCATCCAGGATCTTCTTGTGGTGACAAAATCTTCACTTGTTTCTGTTCGAAGCAATATACACATTGCATCACATAGCTGTAGACTTAACAACAGCTACTTATCTAGAGCCTCCTATCTAACTCTCCTATCATAACCGTCATGGTACCGTTGCATTCAGACTTGCAAACTGATAGGTGGAATAGGTGGGCTGGGCCAACCAACGGGGGTATCAGCTCTTGCTGGTAGTATTCCGTGGCCACTATATACTAGTGCTTTGGATATCGGACAATCAGACAACGGGGCTTTAAAAAAAAAAAGAAAAAGAAAAGAAAGAAAATAAAATAAAAATAAACGGGGAAGGAGGAAGGATGTGAACACTCTCCTTTCACCACTCCCTGCCCCGGATATAATTTGGTGCTCCGTTCTCCGTACTCCTAGGCAACTCTGGGTTTATTCCTCTTTTCAGTTGGTCAAATAAAGGATGTATGGCTAGGACCTTTGATGGATCAGGCCATGCATTGCATTGCATTGCAGCCTTCAGGGATTAAAAGCGCAATGCTCCATCTCGCACTCTAGCAGCCAGGAATGGGTATAATCCTTGCTGTTAATTAAAATGAGGTCATAGCTGCTTTCTCAAGAGTTTGTTAAGAATTCAGTGGGTATTCTGACAATTTTTTCGCAGTTATTTTTCTTTCTTTCTTTCGTTTTTTTCACTTTTTGGTAGGAACAAGATTGGCTAAAGGAAGATGTTTATCCACGACGTCAATTCGAGGATGGATGAATTTGTGTTGGGGCAGTTGAAATTAACTACAGCTTAGTCAGCATCCTCTTGTAGCCATTAAAGTTTTGTCACAATGAGCGAAGTCAGCTCTGACCGACCTATCAGAAACACTTCCTTGGCAAGTTCATCTTCATTAGTACCAGTACGTAAATCCTCCTGTAGCTAATCAATATCAGTCATTCCATTCGCTACGGCTTCATATTTGACCAGTTTCCATCGTTAGTAGGCTGAATTAATTAGTCACTACGTCACTCCATTCATGCTACCTACGTTCGTTAGCTCAGTTCTGGGGGGCCCTTTCATCATTCACCATTTTCTGCTGTTATCACTCATATTCGACCCTGTATCAAAACATTTATGAACGCCTAACTAAGTGCTTTCCGCGTTGGACACCGGGGAAACCTGCCATAGCCACCCTAGATCGGACTTCACGATGCCCTTCTGGACGTTTAAAAGCTCCTTGGACAGTTTTTTACAGCCCTCACCTGGCCCGTTGACTGCAAATTCGAAAGTATCCCCGGTTGACCTGCGAGTGATTGATTTGACAGGCAGTATCATAGCTGCAGTCCCAGCAGCAAGAACCTCTGTGAAATAAGGAAGCTCGGAATACGGGATCTGTATACCTGTTATTTCTCTGGGCTGGCAAGGGATATTCACTGTACCTCCACTTACAGGGCGGATCTCTACATTCCATTCAAAAGATTTGGCGAGCTCTATACAGCTGGTACTAGTGACACTCTTCAAGATCGAGCGACTATTCGGTGAGACAAGGGTAAATGAACTGCCGCTCTGTTTCAAGCCAATAAAGGCGGAGGTGCTAAACTCATCAATCTCCGAATTATCACGGCTGTCAAGGTGAAGTGTCATAAAGAAGCCTTCAGCACGAGCCTGATCGCTCCATTTCAATACAGGTGCATAGTTGCCGCCGACCTTCACATGACCCACCCCCTTGGGCGCCGCTCTGTCAAAATCCTCCAAGATTAATGCCGGGAGAGGATGAACACCGTGATAGGCTTTATATGGCTGTACATAGATACAGAACTTGTATCCAGTTCCAGCCGAGACTGCGAAGAATGCATCTGACCCGAAGACAAGGGGCCGTATGTATAACGCGGCATCCGTGTCGTGAGGTGGAACATATTCAGCGTTCTTTACGATGGCGAGGTTGACTCCACGCAGAAAAATGTCCTCTGGAATAGGTGGAATTGCAATCGTAGAGCAAGAGAGCGATAAGCGAGCCGCATGCTCTTTGGGACGAAACACTTGAATCAGTCCTTTAGGATCGCGATAGGCTGGGGTCATATCTAGTTAACTCCAATACTTCCACATGAAGGTAAAGAGATGGTTGACGTGCCTTTCATTCCCTCGAACGCTTGCTGCCCTTCGAGAGAGTCAGCTTCTCTTCTTCTTCTGGATTAAACTGCTCCTACCATAATTGAGTCCAGGTGCAAGACCGTGGATTCTGAGAAAAGGATCTTGGATACATCGAGGTTCAGACCACCTGTTCGTGTTGACGGAGTATTCAGATTCGACATGGCCATTCACTGCACAAAACCAAGATATCTTAGTGTTATGCGATTTAAATATCCTCACCTAGTGTACCTCTAATGACTTCACAGTCTAAACATACCATCCATAGGCGTTAGGCCTAGTTTGTCCCATTCTAAGATGCGCTATATATTAGCATATCATAATCGTGAATTCGCTGGTGCAGACTGGACAGACAGCTTGCTGCGTACCAAGGGCATCGGTTGGAGGGGGTAAATCGGCCATTTGTGTTATTGTACGTGGGTATCACACAAATAATTATCAAATATGTAGGGACTCAAGCTCGCGGTTGGAACCTTTTACGCTTATCCTTTGGGAAATGCTCTCCCCCCCAACGCACTCGCAGGACTGTCAAGTTAACTAAGTAGTAGGTTGCTAAAATACCTACCAGCTATTCTCTTCGCCAGATTGACTACGGTAGCAACTGTTAACCATGGCCCACATGGTTCCCGCATATGTGACTGCCATGAATAAGCGTTTGATATCCTTGACGGGTGAAACCACCTGTAAATGAATTACATGCTCCTGTATTACCAATACAGGAAATACTGCGTGTTTGCAAATAATTTAGGTTGGATGGAACCTTAACTTAACATTCTTTTGGTGCCAAGGAAGCTTAGCGAGGAAACTTGAATCGCACGTCTTTCGGCGACATGATGACAGAAAGTAATTGAGGGTAGCCTAACTAATTGGAAGCTCCGGTTTTCGAGGAGAGTTTGATATTGATCCTGCCGGTCATTCATTCTATCAATTGGCTGTGTTAAGGCAGGTGCGAGGCGAACACGTTCCAACAGCCATGCGGCCTAAGGTTTTTTATGGTACGAGCGGAGTGGGTTTGCTGAATCAATCATCAAGTGAGTTAAGGTTGTCCCACAGGGTGGGAGCACTCGTGTGCTTGTTAACTCACACTAGCCAGATACCCCTGTCAGCCTTGGTACTGATCCTCCCTCGGTCTTTGACATCTTTATGGAGTAGAGTATGCAAGTATGTTGCTGTGTTGTTGTGAGCGGGCAGCAATTAGCCGGCACTATCCCAGAGCGAATACAACAGCGCTCGCAGGGGCTTTCAGAACTGCCTAATTAGGTCTAGAGATATTATATGAGCTATTTTGCGGCTGAGGGTGGTGCGGCTGATGGAGGGGAGGACTGGAAGGTGGGGGAAGAGGCCAGGGGGTTGCTGCAGTCGGTGCAGGGGCGCAGGGGCCGATGCAGGGGGTCTGTCCGACTGTTGCACCCGTTATGGTCTCCACCTGATATCCACCGTTTAAGCACGCTCCTCCGAATAATTAATGACCCAGACTGCACATAGATAAGTAGATAAATAGAGGAGGATGTGGGTTCGGAAGAGTCAAAGGTAGTAGTTACTAGCGGAGTGTGAAGTCTGGACTGGGCCCCAACCGTCAGCTGCCATCATGCATTGGTAGGAAGTAAACTGGGTCCAGTGAGTGAATATTGGCTATGGTTACCTTGGAGGATGAAGAGTATGCATTCAGTATTTCAGGCTACCCTTCATCTCGATAACTCCATAGAAGTGCCCCGAGTGCTCTGCATATATCCAAAAGCGGTACATTGTCCGAAGGGCCAGAGTGAAGGACCAGAGTTACTGGAAGCGAAGCTCATCAATTATAGTCTCGAAATCTTCCACTTCCCCAATTTGAGGAAAATTGGCGACTGTAGGGATTCATGGGGCAAACCCTGTGGAGTATCCTAGGTAGAGGAAAGGATGGGAAGTGGGATTGAGTAAGTTTTTTTGCGGTCCAGACTGTCGGCAATGACTTTCTTTTTAGCGCAATCTACCTAGATGAATGTAGAGAATCATTATTTGTCATTTGATATTTCTTGAGAGCATTCACACGTCATAGCTTCATATTTGCTGCAGCAAGAATGCGAAAGGGCCCCGGGGGATCCTTTTCAAGTAATTCCGTTGGTTGGCCTTCCTCGACTATCTCTCCGTTGGATATGACTGCGACACGGTCAGCGTCGAGAATAGTAAATATCTGGTGTGCAATTGTGATGACAGTTCGTGTCGCGAAGTGTTTCCGGATGATACTTTGCATCAGCTTATTCGTGTGTAGATCAACACTCGAGGAGACTTCGTCGAGAAGTAGAATGGATCCGGGTCGCAGCATTGCCCTGGTAAGACAAAGTAGCTGTTTTTGGCCAACGCTGAATAACTCGTCTGATAGCTGAACTTCAATACCTCCCCGAGCTATGACTGTATCCCAGAGTGTCACTTCTTTCAAAACCTGATTTACCTGCTCATCACTGGAAGTCCCGGATGGGTCAACATTCTCACGGACGGTTCCTTGTATGAGATATGGTGTCTGGGTGACACAGACAAGACGGGTATAAAGGATTTCCTGGGGAATAGCTGAAATATCGACACCGTCGATGATGATGTTCCCCTCAGAGACATGTAAAATACGGAATAGCGCGGAGATAATTGAAGATTTTCCACTGTGCAGAAACTTGTTAAAAACCACATATTACCAAGGGGATGATGAGATATTTTGCCAAAAAAATAAAAATAAAAATAAAAATGCAATAAAATGAAATGATCAATAATTAGTTAGCTTACCTTCCACTTTTCCCACATAAGGCAATTTTCTCGCCTTTATGGATCAATAGATTCAAATTTTTGATGACTGGCGTAGAGTTGATCTCATATTCGGCAGTGACCCCTCGAAATTCAATAGTCCCATGTTCCGGCCAGGAAGGCGATATGGTAGGCCCAGTTGCCTCATCTTTTAATTCAGGGGACCGCTCTCGCGGTCGGCTCAATAAGGTATCAGTCGAAAACGAGCGAATGCGGGAGACAGCGCCAATGGATATCTCAAGCTGAGTCCAATTGGCCATTAAGCTCTTGATAGTAGTACTGAACTGAACGATGTTTACTAGAGCGATGCCGGTGGACCCGGCATCAATCTTTCCCTTTGTCCGCACAGCGATTGATACGACAATGACAGCAATAGCTGCGACTACGAGGTCAAGCACAAGGTTGAGCCAGCGCTGGACACAGAATAATAGATAAAATGGCTTCTGTGAATCATTAAGCGCCTGGTTGTTATGATGTTCATAATCTTTCTGCCAACCAAATGCCCGGATCGTAACAAGGCCAGACAGAGTTTCTAGGAATTTGGAAAATAGGGGGGCTTTAGCTTCAATGTCAAGTAGTCGCAATTGTCTCGCAGTGCGCAGATAAAACTTCTGAATCAGATAGAAGACAGTTAGAATAACTGGTATAGCGACACCAATGTATTTCGACGCGACTGCGATAATGATTAGCTGGGCCAGGCAAGTTATAAGTTCAACGGTCGTGTTAAAGAGAGCTAGTGGAAGTTCCATATCTGCCAATTGTAAATCTTGAGCAAACCGATTGATGGTGGTTCCCATGTCGGTACTTAGAAAGAATTGCAGAGGTGCATCCACGACTGTACTCAGGAGGCCTTCATGGAATTGCCTCGAAGCTCTCGGTAGCATGTGCTCGGTCAGATACCTGTGTATTTCAAGTAAGCAACTGCGATAACCCCAAAGTGGTGAATCGTACCAAGCAGCAACAGCCAGAGAAACAATTGCCATTCCAGCAAGCGCAGCGTAAATTCCCAAGTATAGTTCAATATGAGAAATAGTATATTCCGTGTCCCGTTGTAGCCACCATTTTATGACAAAATCTTTATTTGGTTATGTTAGCAGGTTATTAGCTATCCAGCGTGTAGTAAAAAACAAAGGTGACTGACGTGGTAAGGTTAGTCCGAGGACAAAAACCACACAGACCGCAGTGAAGAAAGCTGCGCTCATAGGGTGAACTACTTGTATATAGTACTTATAGACAGTCGTATCGCCAACCCGTCGTTCCTTTTCTTGAGCAGATGCAGTTAGAGGTCTGGCGCTAGAGAGTTCGGGTGTAGCCCCTATGTGGTTTTCATGGGATTGGCCGGCCGAAGTTCGCTTCTCGGATGGTGCAGCCAAAGTTACTCCCTCTGACAATTCTTTTTCCAAGGCATCATCTTTGCTCACTTGGTTGCCGGTAGAATCAAGGTATATAGCATTATCTGCGTAGTTGAGGCGATTCATTGCTATAGTAGTCAGTCACAATTTATCATCCGTACCTGCTTATTACTATTTCCATAACCAAATTAATTATTGAATTTCGTGGATGAACTTACCGGCATTCGTAGCTAAAACTATAGTGATGTTTTCCGTTGCCAGGATGCCACGTTCTCCAAATAAATTGTGGAATATTAACTCCTCGGTTTTTGCATCCAAACCGGAAAAGACATCATCTAGCAGTACAAGCGTTTCTCTTGAATATAGTGCTCGTGCGATCCCCTGTATGAAGGTATCAGCTCTTTTTATGCCTATTAAAATTGCTAAGGACTGAACGGCGATTTTTGCTCACCAGTCGAGCCTTTTGGCCGCCGCTCAAGGCCATACCACCACTGCCGACAATCCATTGGTCTCCGTAGGGAAATCCTTGGAGATCATCTCGCAGCACGCAAGTATCTATCACCTGATCATACCAAGTCGGCTGGAAGAGGTTAGAGCCTATAATGTTATCTCGAATGGTGTCGTTGGTAATCCAAGGTTCCTGGCAGCAATAACCGACCCTTGTAACTGATTTTTGGAGAGAGCCATCAGTATGCATCACCTCACCCAGAATCGAATGCAGCAGCGTCGACTTCCCGCATCCGACTGGCCCAATGATGAAAGTAACAGTCGAACGCAAAATTTCAAAATCCAAGTTCTTGACAACAAAAGGCAAATCGGCATTCCAGCCGGCACTGAAGCCTTGAGCCCGAACAAGAACTTCTTTTCCTTTTCCTTCATATATGTCGGGCCTGGTTGATATTGATGGAGGGATCATTTCAGTGCTGGATGCTTTGCTTGCGTTAGTAGTTGGCTTCGAAACGTATTCACCTATACGTTCAATTGCTCCAAAGGCGGCAACAAACCCAGCAATGGCGTCTAAAATAAGCGCCATGGGAGTCTGCAAAAGCGCTAGGAGTGACAGTGAGGTATAGGCTTTTTCATAATCCAATGCCTGTGAACCATTTCTCAACGCCAGAAGCGTGTACATGGTGAACGCCAGCAGAGGTCCACATGCTGCCGTAGTGAAGGCTAGATAGGCGTGTTAGTGTATTCCTATCCGGGTTTTTTGTATTGGAGAATTCAGCCTACAGAGTGTTACAATCATAACCAGCGCTTTCTTGAAGGGGCGAGACTCTGATATTTCCTTTGATCTTAGTTCCTGCAGCTTCTTTGCCGCGTGGCCCTGTAACCCGCCCAGCCGAATCTCCTTGATATTCTTTAGCATTGACGAGGTGGCATGCACTCTATTTTGAATGGCCTCTAGCCACTGTCGCTGGCGGGCGCCCATGGTGGCTGCCACAAGCAGCCCGGAAAGGGTGCATACTATTGTAAAGATGAGACATTCTGGTTAGTGACTAGTTATCTTGTTGACCTTGCTGGGCGATTACCAGCTATGACGGAGCTTTTAGTTACCAAGAAAGATCGCCGCAGGGGCAACAGCTGCGACTCCAAGCTGCTGCTGCAAAAGCCAGAGAGCAAGGCCGATATCTATCGGGCTAGCCCATATTTCGTGGAAATAGCGTAGCCCTGAGCTGATACGTTCAATGTCCACACTCATCAAAGTGAGTGCGGCGGAATCGCGCACTGCAGAGGTGTCTAGATGCAAGGTCTGGGTATAGATCAGCGGGACGAGGCTGCTGCGTAGCATCGTAATAAGGCGATATGTCTTGTGCTGGGTATTGGTGGTGGCCACCGCCAGGCCGATGTAAACGAGCAAGGCTGCTGCAATGAGGCCGTAGCCGTAGCGGCTGGCCAGTCCATCGTCGTCTCCTGCTGCTTCTTCCGTGACATATCTCACGATGCGAGCCAGCAAGAATGGTTGCGTGAAGGTGAGTCCGGTCAGGCAGAGACGGGGGATCACAGCAGCCAGCGCCGCCCATAGATGGTGAGCGGCCAACAGACGGACCAGCGCCGCTGGGGTCTTGACCTTTGCTACAGCAGCAAGTTAGCACCACTCATTAAACAGGTAACCAGATATATAGTCATAATCAACAGGCAGTTAACTGGTAGTCTCGACGTACCGGCTTCCCACTGGCCCAGGAATGAGTCCTCCTCGTCGTCGTCGCCGCCCCTGAGACGCCGATCGATAGCGCTAAGCTTCTCGGCCTGCAAGATCTCACGGAACCCCTGGAGCAGCAGCGGGTTCAGCCACCAGAAGACACTGCGGTTGTACACGTTCGCGACGGTCTCTGCCGGGAGCCGCCCAGGGCCATCAGGGCCATCCGAGCCATCGTCTCCGCGCTCGAGCAGCTCAAGCACGAACTTGGCCAGGTCGGACACGATGCCGGCGATGAACACGGCGCAGAACACCCGCGGCTGCACCGCCCACAGCGTCCGCGCCCGCACGGCGTCGAGCAGCAGCGAGAGCCCCAGGAAGAGCGAGACGGGCGTGGACGGCCGCGGCGACCGGCAATGCTGCCAGTACGACAGGACGGCGACGGAGGCAGACGTTGCGGCGGCTATCGACACGGCTGCAACGGTTGCGCGGGTCGCCAGCGCTCGCCCGGGGACAAGCACGAGAGCGACGAGGACGAGCTTGATGCCGGTCGAGACAAGGTGCGCGGTCTAGCAGGGCATCATCATCATCAGACAGGTCCGATTCTTTAACTAGTTACTGTGGTCTACGGAAGGTCGACGGCCGCTCACCAGTTTGGAGTAGAGAAGAGGGCCGGCGGGCGCCTGCTGGTGATGATTATGCTGCTGCTGGCGATGGGACAGCCGGGCCAGCTGCACCGGCAGCGACAGCAGCATGGCGCTGCACACGCCGATGGAGAAGAAGGACTCCTCGAACAGCAGCGTGAAGTCGAAGCCATCGAGGCACTCCGGCGCCGCTGCAGGCCCAAATGCGTCCTCGGCGCGGATAGAGCAGCCCATTCCAATTTGATGGCACAGCTCACATACAAAGAATCCGATGTCTATGTCTGCTATGCGTCTCGTCTGGTTAAAGTAGTTGACTACGCATCCGGCCAGTCAATCGTTAACTAGTTAACTAGCTGGAACTCCTGCTGTTGATTCAGTTGGAATGGCCAGAAACCTCCAGGTCCCCTTGTTCAGCTCGGCACCGAGTCTGTGCCGGCCAGCCAGTTGGTGAACTAGCTGACCTGGCCATTGAGTTGCGTAACCAGAACAGCTGGTTGGCTAGATTGGCCTGGTTCGTTGGTGAGCTCGCTTGTCAGATATTATTTTGAACCGGGTTGTCCGGAGCATCGCGGACGGTGGTTGAAGGATTCATATTATTACTGCAAGCGACCCTTCAGGGGGTCTCGACAGTTGGCCATGGACCATCCACACATGCCCTCAGCTGCGCGTCAGGGGCATACGCACTCTCTCTTAACGGTGCCAGCCAGGCATGTACATACCCTGTGTGGATATCTCATTGTCGTCTAATCTTGGTTGAAATAACTGGTTAGTTGCTATCTGGTGCCTATCGGCCAGCCATGATAGTTACCACCTGCGTACATGGGTACGTGATGATATAAATTCCCTTTCATTCATTGCAAGAGACGTACGAAGATGTGACTGCTCGCAGGGAATATGCCACAATAACTACGTACCCCTCCGCGTGTCCCTCATGGACATGGTAACGGAACCTGCTGGGCCACTCGATCTATTTTCAGGGCGAATTTCATTGTTACAGCCAGACCCTGTCCAGCCTGCGCCCCAATCACCGGCGCTTAGCCAGGATTGTTTGTTTGGCTTGCAGCCCCCCGGGGGAAGAACAATCACATCAAATTGAAGGAGGGCTGCAGGAAATGGGGAGAGTGTTGAAGATATTTAACCATATCAGCGGTTGCTGCAATATGGATAATTGTACTGCTGTGCATCCATCACCGAGCTGCGCTCCTTTCGATTCAACTACTCGTCCTGTTTTGACTTAACACTGTCCTTCATTCAATAATACCCTCATGCCTCTCGTTTGTCTGCTGTGATTGACCTTATTTTACTTGTGTCTTTACGATACACCACATACCGTGTGAGCGAGACAGTGCGAGAAAGGGACGATGCTGCGCTCCGTACCGTTTCTGCTCCTCCTGCTATCCGGCGTGGAAGCGCTTGTACCAACGCCTGTACGAACCGCTGTACCACAAGGCACGGTTCCTCTTGCCGCTGCAGAGACTCCGTCTCCAACGCCTATGACACCAGCGAGAATTGAACGGCGAGAAATTTCAATCTCGATCCCCCCGGTTTCAATCCCTCCTGTCTCCATCCCTAGCCTGTCGCTTGACCTGCCCGTCAACACTTGCACTCCAACCATCGCCCCTGACAAGAATGGCTGGGTGCCACCATCGGAATGCAACGCACTCTACCTCTACTATCCATCTTTCGGGGCTGCCATTGCGTTTTCCGTCCTATTTGGCGCGGTGATGATAGTACACTTTGTGCAGGCTACCATCTATAAAGCTGGCTTCGTCTGGGTTATCTTGATGGGAGCCACCTGGGAATGCATAGGGTTCGTCGCCCGGTCAGCAGGTACTCGCGACCAGCAGAGCTCCGGCCTGGCAACAACGGCTCAGTTATTTATTCTGCTCTCGCCCTTGTGTATAGTTCTCCCTTTCCTCCCTCCGTCCTGCTTAAACTTGCCACCCGTCTAACATCATTCATAGGGGTTAATGCTTTTGACTACATGGTTCTTGCTCGCATGATCCATTTCTACATCCCCAGTCGAACCATCGGCATTTTCAAACCAGCAATACTAGCGAAGATCTTCATTGTTCTAGATTTCGTTGCTTTTGTCATCCAGCTCGTTGGTGGCGGCATGGCTGGGCCCGGACAAACACCCGAGGCCGCAATGCGAGGAATCCATATCTACATGGGTGGCATTGGGATCCAGGAGTTTTTCATCATCCTGTTCCTCATCCTCGCCATTCAGTTCCACCGTCAAATGCTCCACCTCGAGCATACTGGAAGACTGCAAGATTCCAAGCGAACCTGGAGGCCTCTCTTATACTCACTTTACATCAGTCTCTTCTTCATTACCATGCGCATCGTCTATCGTTTGATAGAATTCTCGTCCGGACACACTGATTCAAATCCTATTCCGCACCACGAGTGGTACATGTACGTCTTCGATGCCGTTCCAATGCTCTTCGCCATTGGAACATGGAACGTTATCCACCCGGGAAAAATCATACGGGGCCCTGATGCCAAAATGCCCTCCAGCGGTATTAGTAAGATATTCTGCTGTGCCTGCTGCATCTGCTGCGGCCGCCAAAATTCTTCGGATTTGCAGAAAATACCCAGTTCGGACCCAGCGGGAGATGAGATGTTGCCATTCCGACACCGGGCATCCTCTCCGTATAGATAGTATTCTTTAATTCTTTGTTTAAACTCATTTATGATGAGACGCAAACTTTGCTTCTTTTTTTGTTGTCCCTTCTTTTCGATGGTTAATAGGCGTGAGGTTTCCTTCCATCTGAGGCAGATGCTTTAAATTTATTTCCCGCTTGATAGAAACATTCTATATACCTATATCAGGTGCTCAAAGTGGATTTGTACGATGGTGTACTTTGCAGCAATCATAATGATCTTGTTTCTTAATTTCCGGGAGTTGCATCTGAATATCTAGCTATAGCGTCAATAGAGAGTATCAGACGGTCAAGATGTGTTCAGCCAGAGGGTTTAACAGAATGCTTTTTGCAAGTAAGAGATATTATAGATCCATATATCGTCCAAGGACCGATGGCATCGTATCTCCAAAATGCAAAGGAAGGGAATCCATCTCAGAAAAGTGCCTAACCGCCTCAAGCCCCCGTTTTCTCTTTTCTGTAAACATTGCCAGACTCTCGCTAGTAGAATCCCCATCCGCTTCTTCCGTCGATGCCTCGGCATTTCCATCTAGATATAGACCCATATACACAAGCACGTCCTGTGGCTTAACGGTTCGCCGGCCGTCCTTGAAAACATATCGACACAAAGAAGAAGAAAGGATATAATTGTTTGCATCGAGACTCGATATTTTACCATCTTTCCTAGCATGTTGAGCTGAGGATGGTTGCAGAGCCGACTTATCCATTCCATCCTTGACGAAGTAGCTGACGACATACAACCATTTTTCGTCCCAGGAAATCACTCGAGACCATATTTCGTATTTCTGAAACGGCTTTATCTCCTTCTTAAACATGCATGACACTCCACCTAGTGCTATCCCCAGCGACTTCTCCTTGTGCGATCCCCTTATTGGCCTGTCCTGTTTATTAACGGCGTTCATACCCTCTGCATTAGATGGCGACGCTGTACCATCTGCAGTTTTCCAGCGAGGAAACCCCCCAAAAATGTTCAGGAGTAACTGAGTTCGATTTATGTCAAGGTCACAGAAGAATGTGCTGTTGGATTTGTGCATATTATAGTCACAATCGATGGGAGAGTTGCGGTGCTCGGTAATCAAATAGGAGAATAGTCGGGGGACGCCATTCGGCTGGTCAGAGGTGATTGATGCGGCATTGGTGATGCCGGAGCCCGTGGTACAATCGTTATCACGGTTGAAACTCCGCCATTTGGCATGGAAAAGCTGTGTTGTGATCCCCTTTAAAAGCCGTACCTAGCATGTGAAACAGTAAGTCAGCAACGAAATAATTATAGCCCCCAACTTTCAAGAAACATACGTGCCAAAATCCCGGGATTCCCTTTATATTAATCAAGAAAATACCAGTGAATACCGCCAATATGGCATATGAAATGAACGGAGTTGGGCTGAGGCCTCCAACCAATTCAAATGCACCCAGAAGCGACATTGTGGTCTGAGGAATGGCTCTCTCGCTCATGTCAGCTATTAACCTAAAGGGAAGGGGGGAAAATGTGTATGGACGGATATTGGGAGCATAAGGTGCTTAGCTCAGGCCTCCTTGCAGTCGATAACCGATAATCCAGATGTAACCTCGAGATACCAGGAGAGTCAACTATTTGGCTCTACCATCATCCGATTTCTCCGGATCGCTATTGAACCAGGGCCGCTAACGTTCTCTGGGAATAAATGGAACCAGACCCCATGGGTCCCCAGACATACCGTTTACCAAGTTATTGGTAATTCTTGATAAAGTACAGCTGACTTATGGGTAGCCATGAATTGAGCCAGGGTCGTACATCAGTCCAGTCTCCATTGAGTTCATTGCAAGGGCGTGAAGCCAGAACTGCCGATGATTGCTGCTTCTATCCCAATGGGGTATTCGGTAAGGGGAAAAGAAAGAAAAGAAAAAAGAAATATATACATACATATATATGTATACTTAGTATATGCAGACCAAGAAGACAGTTATCGTAGTTCACTAATGTCAGGGATGCGGACGTGTCGTTGTACAGGGAGGGGTCGGTTATGCCTGTCAACCAAAGAAGTATACCGGAGTATGGCCCTGCTGCCAGGGCTGATGCCACGGCATTACCAGTAACTTATTTGTAAACTTTCCTAGCGACAATGTGCCTGGCCCCCTTGAATGCATGACGCTGCAGTTAAGTTTTTTGAGTAAATTTTTACCCGTTATAGCATGTTAGCCGGAGGCTGTAGACCGTGCTGCGATCCTTCTAGATAAACAATCACCGGCAGGATTGCTGACTGTTGGGGGCTGGGTAACAAGCCGAAGGACATGCCGTGGAGTACTCCAATCCAGGTCAGGAGTGTTGCAAAATCAAGTGATACTTGATCTCGTAAGTTGGCAGGAACATACTGGCTGGCCTGAGAACTACCTACAAGTTAGGAGAATTTGAGCAGACATTTATCCACATAGATTCCGCGAATAGAATGTAGTGGTATGATGGGATTATGGCCAAAACAACTTCTTGTCCGTACCACGATATCAATTCTTTGAACTGACAGCTATCCAAGGATTCGATATGGACAGTCCGTGGTCCGTACTGAGCACTCACCAACCAGGCTCAACAAC